GGGAGTTGAAGCAGAAGGAATATCAGACTAAAATATCTTCCTGAGGATTGGGAGTTGAAGTAGAAGGAATTTCAGTGTAAAATATCTTCCTGAGGGTGGGGAGTTGAAGCAGAAGGTATTTCAGGGTAAAATATCTTCCTGAGGATGGGGAGTTGAAGTAGAAGGAATTCACTGCAAAATATCTTCCTGAGGATTGGGAGTTGAAGTAGAAGGAATTTCAGTGTAAAATATCTTTCTGAGGGTGGGGAGTTGAAGCAGAAGGTATTTCAGGGTAAAATATCTTCCTGAGGGTGGGGCGTTCAAGTAGAAGGAATTTTAGTGTAAATTATCTTGCTGAGGGTGGGGAGTTGAAGTAGAAGGGATTTCAGGGTAAAATATCTTCCTGAGGGTGGGGCGTTCAAGTAGAAGGGATTTCAGGGTAAATATCTTCCTAAGGGTGGGGAGTTGAAGTAGAAGGAGTTTCAGTGTAAAATATCTTCCTGAGGATGGGGCGTTCAAGTAGAAGGAATTTTAGTGTAAAATATCTTGCTGAGGGTGGGGAGTTTAAGTAGAAGGGATTTCAGGGTAAAATATCTTCCTGAGGATGGGGAGTTGAAGAAGAAGGAAATACAGTGTAAAATATAGTCCTGGGGGGTGGGGAGTTAAAGTAGCAGGAACACAGGGTAAAATATCTTCCTCAGGTTTGAAAGTTGGAAGTTGAAGAAATATCAGACTAAAATATCTTCCTGAGGATTGGGAGTTGAAGCAGAAGGAATATCAGACTAAAATATCTTCCTGAGGATTGGGAGTTGAAGTAGAAGGAATTTCAGTGTAAAATATCTTCCTGAGGGTGGGGAGTTGAAGCAGAAGGTATTTCAGTGTAAAATATCTTCCTGAGGATGGGGAGTTGAAGTAGAAGGAATTCACTGCAAAATATCTTCCTGAGGATTGGGAGTTGAAGTAGAAGGAATTTCAGTGTAAAATATCTTTCTGAGGGTGGGGAGTTGAAGCAGAAGGTATTTCAGGGTAAAATATCTTCCTGAGGGTGGGGCGTTCAAGTAGAAGGAATTTTAGTGTAAATTATCTTGCTGAGGGTGGGGAGTTGAAGAAGAAGGAAATACAGTGTAAAATATAGTCCTGGGGGGTGGGGAGTTGAAGTAGAAGGAATTTCAGTGTAATATATAGTCCTGAGGGTGGGGAGTTGAAGTAGCAGGAATTTCAGTGTAAAATATCTTCCTGAGGGTGGGGAGTTGAAGTAGAAGGAATTTCAGTGTAAAATATAGTCCTGAGGGTGGGGAGTTGAAGTAGAAGGAATTTCAGGGCAAAATATCTTCCTGAGGGTGGGGAGTTGAAGTAGAAGGAGTTTCAGTGTAAGATATCTTCCTGAGTGTGGGGCGTTCAAGTAGAAGGAATTTTAGTGTAAAATATCTTGCTGAGGGTGGGGAGTTGAAGTAGAAGGGATTTCAGGGTAAAATATCTTCCTGAGGGTGGGGAGTTGAAGTAGAAGGAATTTCAGGGTGAAATATCTTCCTGTGGCTGGGGAGTTGAAGAAGAAGGAATTTCAGTGTAAAATATTGTCCTGAGGTTTGGGAGTTGAAGTAGAAGGAATTTCAGTGTAAAATATCTTCCTGAGGGTGGGGAGTTGAAGTAGAAGGAATTTCAGTGTAAAATATCTTCCTGAGGGTGGGGAGTTGAAGTAGAAGGAATTTCAGTGTAAAATATCTTCCTGAGGGTGGGGAGTTGAAGAAGAAGGAATTTCAGTGTAAAATATCTTCCTGAGGGTGGGGAGTTGAAGTAGAAGGAATTTCAGGGTGAAATATCTTCCTGTGGGTGGGGAGTTGAAGAAGAAGGAATTTCAGTGTAAAATATCTTCCTGAGGGTGGGGAGTTGAAGTAGAAGGAATTTCAGGGTGAAATATCTTCCTGTGGCTGGGGAGTTGAAGAAGAAGGAATTTCAGTGTAAAATATTGTCCTGAGGTTTGGGAGTTGAAGTAGAAGGAATTTCAGTGTAAAATATCTTCCTGAGGGTGGGGAGTTGAAGTAGAAGGAATTTCAGTGTAAAATATAGTCCTGAGGTAGGGGAGTTGAAGTAGAAGGAATTTCAGTGTAAAATATCTTCCTGAGGGTGGGAATGTGAAGTTGAAGGAATTTCAGTGAAAAATATCTTCAAGAGGGTGTAGAGTTGTTGGATTTTCAGTGTGAAATATCTTTCTGGGGGTGGGGAGTTGAAGTAGAAGGAATTTCAGTGTAAAATATAGTCCTGAGGGTGGGGAGTTGAAGTAGAAGGAATGTCAGTGTAAAATATCTTCCTGAGGGTGGGAATGTGAAGTTGAAGGAATTTCAGTGAAAAATATCTTCAAGAGGGTGTAGAGTTGTAGGATTTTCAGTGTGAAATATCTTCCTGGGGGTGGGGAGTTGAAGTAGAACGAATTTCAGGGCAAATTCCTTCCTGAGGGTGGGAAGTTGAAGTAGATGGAATTTCAGTGTAAAATATCTTCCCGAGGGTTGGGAGTTGAAGTAGAAGGAATATCAGTGTAAAATATCTTCCTGAGGGTGGGGAGTTAAAGTAGAAGGGATTTCAGGGTAAAATATCTTGCTGAGGGTGGGGAGTTGAAGTAGAAGGAATTTCAGTGTAAAATATCTTCCTGAGGGTGGGGAGTTGAAGTAGAAGGAATTTCAGTGTAATATATAGTCCTGAGGGTGGGGTGTTGAAGTAGAAGGGATTTCAGGGTAAAATATCTTGCTGAGGGTGGGGAGTTGAAGTAGATGGAGTTTCAGTGTAAAATATCTTCCTGAGGGTGGGGAGTTGAAGTAGAAGGAATTTCAGTGTAAAATATAGTCCTGAGGATTGGGAGTTGAAGTAGAAGGAATTTCAGGGCAAAATATCTCCCTGAGTGTGGGGAGTTCAAGTAGAAGGAATTTTAGTGTAAAATATAGTCCTGAGGGTGGGGAGTTGAAGTAGAAGGAATTTCAGTGTAAAATATCTTGCTGAGGGTGGGGAGTTGAAGTAGAAGGTATTTCAGGGCAAAATATCTTCCTGTGGGTGGGGAGTTGAAGTAGAAGGGATTTCAGGGTAAAATATCTTGCTGAGGGTGGGGAGTTGAAGTAGAAGGAATTTCAGGGTAAAATATCTTCCTGAGGGTGGGGAGTTGAAGTAGAAGGGATTTCAGGGTAAAATATCTTCCTGAGGGCGGGGAGTTGAAGTAGAAGGGATTTCAGTGTAATATATCTTCCTGAGGGTGGGGAGTTGAAGTAGAAGGGATTTCAGGGCAAAATATCTTCCTGTGGGTGGGGAGTTGAAGTAGAAGGTATTTCAGGGTAAAATATCTTCCTGAGGGTGGGGAGTTGAAGTAGAAGGGATTTCAGTGTAAAATATCTTCCTGTGGGTGGGGAGTTGAAGTAGAAGGGATTTCAGGGTAAAATATCTTCCTGAGGGCGGGGAGTTGAAGTAGAAGGGATTTCAGTGTAATATATCTTCCTGAGGGTGGGGAGTTGAAGTAGAAGGAATTTCAGGGTAAAATATCTTCCTGATGGTTTGGGAGTTGAAGTAGAAGGGATTTCAGGGTAAAATATCTTCCTGAGGGTGGGGAGTTGAAGTAGATGGATTGTCAGTGTAAAATATCTTCCTGAGGGTGGGGAGTTGAAGTAGAAGGATTTTCAGTGTAAAATATCTTCCTGAGGGTGGGGAGTTGAAGTAGAAGGAATTTCAGTGTAAAATATCTTCCTGAGGGTGGGGAGTTGAAGTAGAAGGAATTTCAGTGTAAAATATAGTCCTGAGCGTGGGGCGTTGAAGTAGAAGGAATATTAGTGTAGCATATCTTCCTGATGGTTTGGGAGTTGAAGTAGAAGGGATTTCAGTGAATATCATTGAAATTCACGTTCCCTGGATTGGTAGCTCTGTTATGTCCTGAACTAAACCCATGTTGGTGTGAATTGTTTGAGAGTGAGCACCCAAGTTTCCAACTAGAAATAGGCATGTGGAGTTAAATTGAAGGCCAAGGTCATTTAACAACAAGTGCATATTCAGGTATCTCGATCCAGTACACTTTCTGGTTTATACCCTCAGTGATGTCACTAAACCTGAAAACTGATTGCTTAGTTATGAATGCCTGTAAAATTCATTTTACTGGGCCAGAAGTGATGTCTTTAAATGTGAAGTGTATGGGAGGTTGTAGTAGGCATGCAGTTCCCAAACCAAAGGAAGTGGTATTACAATAGAAATGTGTAGTGGTATTTTATGATTGCTGGGGCCTTCTAGAAATGGCTGAAAAGAGACTACTCTGATTTGCATGTTTCTTCTTGTTTACTATTTGCCCCTAAAAGTGTCTTCATACCTTTTGTCTTTGGTCCTGAGTCTTGGAAAATATTAGGGATCTCACGATACAATTATCCCCTGATATGATATGTATCACTATACGTTGTTCATGATACATATCACGATCCTTTTTTTGTATGAATATATGTATTTCAAAAGGCACAAATGCTATTAAAAAGGCATGATATTTCCTGAATGTCTGGTCTCATATTTGAAAATAAAAATGTCTCATTTCAGTCAAAACTTTATTTCAACACCAGTTAGAAAAAGACTAGAACAGAATTTAAGTCTTAAAACCCTGTGCTTTGTACATAACAATAATATGATATATTGTTTATCAAAATGTATGTAAAAACCCATTTTGCAAACAAGTTTATTCCATTCTGTTTTAAATGTGTGAAACGATACTGGAATAAAATATGAATTGATACAGGATTGATATATGAATAGATACAGGTAAGTGTGTATCACATATTGTTTCATCTGAAGATATTATGTATGCATTGATATATTGGTGAATCGTGATGCCCCAAGAGAATATCCCATGCAGTCAGTTAAGTTGACCAGTCCTCTGCAGTCCCAGGTGCTCGTGTTAACTTGGGAACACCTTGTGGTGAGCACATTCACTTGTTACCTACCTACATCCCCTTGGTTACGGTGTGTTGGGCTCATTCTTCAGGTGACTCACTCTCCTACTCACTTTGCAGGTCTCCTTGGCAAGACAACAGAAGAAGTGATGTTATATGAGGTCATGCTGCAGAGGAATGACCGGCTGCCATCAGAGCAACTTCTCATAGATTGGAATCAAATGAAACAAGGCAGCATTGGTCAGCTTATTGCTCACTTAACAGAAATGGAGCGATATGATGTTCGCAAGATAATAACTGACCACCTGGAGATTGACATGGAGGATTGACATGGAGCACTTATCCACTTCAGGACCTCCAGCCACGGGTGTACGAGCAGGGCATCCCATCCCAACTTTGACTCAAGGTTACATGTAGGACAGCTATGCCCTATGCACAGTTTTCTTGATGTCGGGCTCTGTGGTCATTGCTTCATTTATTGTCTGTGGTTGAGAGAGGTGTTGGAGATGTGCCTGTCAGGGTCACCTTGTTCTGTGTGATGAGCATTGAAACCTGGTGGACTCTAATGTCAGCTGTTGGACCACTGAGCCTTCATCCTTTGTGTCATTGGTTGAGCTGCAGATAGCCAGTTAGTAGGGATATATGACTTCCTATTCACAGATATTCAGTCCATACTAGGGTCAGGTCTATTGGAATCCTGTGTGTTAGGACAATCATGTTTGCAGCATTTGTAAATATTTGTTTGAAAGATTGACAGTCCTATGCTTTCTGCCATTGCAGATCAAAACAAGGTCAACTTTGAGAATCCATGAGAATATGCAAAAATATCAGAACATTATCATGTGATAAGATATGGTGTTCGCAGAGCATGTGTCCCGAGAAAGTCACCACCCTTGCAATTATAGTCCTCTCTTAGTTTTACATCAACATGCAATTGGTACTTCGAAAGTCTTGGCTGGAAAATGTCTGACTTTATGTGATGTGTCGGAAGATTGTAAGCAGTGTTGACTGTTGGTGTTTTTATCCTCTAAGATGTATTTTGGATACATATTAATTTTGATATATGCTTCTTTTATTTAAACTTATCCTGCATTACTCCCTAATGCATTTACTGCTTGTTTTAACAGAAAGCAGAAGCTGTGTGAGGTCCAGCTGAAGACAAAGTTGTTCCAACTAGTTGTGTGGTTAATCCCATCACACAGTGCCAACGTGACCAACGTATCATCACATTACTGCTGTCACTCAGACTGAACAGTCCTGTTTGAGTTTCAAGCTACAATCCATTGACATCCTTTGTGTTATTCAAAACAGTTTGTTTTTTGTGATTTATGTCCTTCATAGGGTGTATGACTTCATGTCTTCCCTACTATTTTTGTGATTGCATTAATATTTAGCTCTTGATGGTGGCTTTTTGTCACAGTAATTTTATCAGGCATATTGTTGTTCCAATTAGCCATTTTTAATACACTTTGTGGTCAAATCTTTTTGTGTTCTGCATTTTGTTTTTCTTTGTGTTGCTTGGTACTTCTTATACATTGATGTATGTACCTATGCTTCCCTATGGTTATTAAAGTGTTGTATTCACAATCCTTTGCATAATCTTATCCTTTACCTCTGTGTTCTAGGATTTCGAACATTACATTCACACACAATCATGGTGGGAACGTATTGTGATTTCACCTTCGCTTCATTGCAGATTTATGCACCGTTGTACTCAGTACCACGATGACAAGTCTGGCTTGGATCCCCACCTTTTGTGTCTGGACTGCACCAATATATGTTTGACAGCAACAAAAAATATAGCTTTTGCATCTCCCTCTCTCCCACAGCCTCCTCCAAGTACCTAAGGGTCTCCCGGAAGCACCGTTCTCAGCCAGCTTGTAAACAAGCTATAAAGACGATGTATGACTCTCAGAGACTGCTACATCTGCAACAGCCATCTTGAAAAGAAAAACTTCGGGCTGAAGCCCCTACCTACGTGGGCGTGGATAAACAAGACACAATTTGGTCCAAGGCTATCTCCATTCCGCTTGCCCAATGCTGATGGATCTGGTCTCAGCATCGGATAAAAATTTGCGATAATATCTTTGTCGTCGGCGTTCAAGATTCCTCGGTTGACAAAGGACAATTTCCCTATTCATGCTCTGGAGGTGGCGGACATCGCACACACCCGGGATGACCTCGCAGACAGAAGTTAACCGTAACATGATCTAAGGAAAATAAGATAAGAGTTTTGATCCCCTCAGGGCCAGCAACCCTCAAAAGATCAGAGCAGTTGCTGAACACGAGATTGACTTTCATACAATACAGAGGTCTGATGCTTTCCTCATGCCAAAACTCATGTACCAAAACTTGAAGATCATCACAAATTCATGACCGATTTAACATTTAACAGAATCATCATGTGCTACCAGGTACCCACCTCTCAGAATCATCGTTCACAGGACAGGACCAGACCTCACAAATATCATCAAATATCAACTTGCTCCTACACCGGCCACGTTACACTTTCTACACAGAACACGGAAACACCACTTGTCTGTCTTCCACACAGGTCACAGGGAAGTTTCCGTATGTGAAGCTTGAACCTTGTCTCCGACTAAATGCACAGGGTGATTTAAATGTCACGTGTCAAGGACTCTCAGACCGTAAACATATCTGACCGGAATTAGGTCAACTTACAGATTGGTTTGCGTGCTTACATGTGTACTTAATGCTGCAACTCCTCTATCAAACGCATGTCGCTGTACATCAATGTGACCGAGTCATTAACTTCTGTACACCTCCAATACCTACGTGCGGAGTAACGAGGCACCTCCCTTCATCGTCACCTCGATATAAGAACATGAGTGCTTGTACGGCATCGAGGGAAAGAAATGATTACCTTACTTTGCATGGTACAATCTTTCAGACCAAAGAATTATTCAGCCTTTACAGTCTCATAAACAGCCTAATCTAAATCTGCTATTTGCTCTTCAACTACAGCTTACATTTAGTGATCAGTGATGTGCTCATGGGATTGTGTACGTCAGCCCAGGATTTGATGAGCAGAGCTCGCCTACACTTGGGTTCGATCCAACAGTTTCTGGCACCTTACATGAGAACTCAGGACCCTTGCCTATCCATTGCTCTACATCCGCACCCCAGGAGTCATCTGAGCTGGTGACATCTAAGGAGGTGTCCCTTAACAGAACAATCCGCGACGTCCCTCCTGTTCATAGATGCCTCTATGGAGGGTTGGGGTCCGCATCTGGAGGACCAGACGATCTCAAGGCTGTGGTCCCTGCGCACAGCACACTTGGCACATCATCAACCTCTGGTTGCAACCCAGAAGGTAATCAAACCTTGTCACCATTAAAATGCTCCTCCTATCCAGAGCCAGCCTCGCCCAACTCACGCAATGTTCACATGACTAACAGGGGAGTTATTCTGTAAACTAGCAGTTTGGCTTGGTAAATCAGTTTCTGGACTTTAGTGCATGCTTATTTCTCTTGCTGCTTTTTACTTGGATGTCCTCATATTCTCGTGCTGTCCGTGACCTGTGAAGATCCGGGGTAGAATAGGTCTTCAGCAACCCATACTTGTATTGTAGGCAGTTTGGCAGGGTATAGGTTTTAACAGGGAGTATATATATGTCTTATATATTCCCTGAGTTAAATAAGTTAAATATATAGATAGATATTCACAGCGCTGGCAAATACAAATTATAACAGCAGCTGGGCTATTATTACTATGGCCAACAGCACGGAGTCATGTGCAGGTCAGTGGCTCCTAATTCGCGCAAGAGAATGACCGGTTGGCCACTGAAGCTTGACATTGTGGATGAGGTGCGGGATACTGCAGGCTGACGAGAGAGGTATCGTATTCGATACGTGGCAGCTGATCAGTGATTTCACGGGTTAAAATTAGAATACTTTCTGTTACTCGGGACTTGACCCTCGGACATCGGCTAGGCAGGTTGGCACTCTGACGCCTCTGATATGCTGCCTGGCCATGTCTGTCCCATTACCACAATCGTGATTATACAGATGTTACATGGATGGACTCCTGTGTTTGAAGGACAGATATTCCAAACGTAACAGCCCGGGATACTTGCCGTAAAAGGCGACTATGCTTGTCGTAAAAGGCAACTAACGGGATCGGGTGGTCAGGCTCGCTGACTTGGTTGATGCATGCCATCGTATCCCAATTGTGTAGGTCGATGCTCATGATGTCAGTCACTGGATTGTCTGGTCCAGACACGATTATTTACAGACCGCCGTCATATAGGTATATATAGAATATTGCTGAGTGCGGCGTTAAACAACCAAACCAATCGTACCATCCGTGGACAAGATAGGTCAAAGTAGTTACAAATCTGCGCAAGTGATGCGCTAAACGACTGCCATGAAATACTGGAGAGTTTTATGTCTTTGAGGACCGCAGTTTAGGGTATTCCACCGGCGTACTATCTGATCATGATACATTAAGGAGTAATGCAGGATAAGTTAAAAAATCTAGTAAATTCTAGATATTTTTTATATTTGTTTACTTATCCTGCATTACTATGTCTAAGTTGCCCACCCATCGCAGAGCTGCCTCCCCACGATGTCTTCAGGTGTTACGATCTAGCAGTAATGTGATGATCAGTGACATCATCAGTTCCATGGTTAAGTGGGCGTTAGCCACATAACTAATTGGAACAACTTCTTTTTCAGCTGGACCTCACACAGCTTCTTTCTTTCAAAACAAGCAGTAAATGCATTAAGGAGTAATGCAGGATAAGTTTACAATCATAAAAAATATCTAGATTTTACTAGAATTCTATGTTTCATTAATTTTTCAGGTAAAATTTGGTATTTAGGTATTAATGATGTGTCATGTAGAGGTACAGGTGTGTTTTTGTACTAAAAATACCTGAAAATAATCAGTTTTCTTTATGTTTGTCCTAAATTGTCTCTAGGTTTGTCAGCTCTATACTCATGCTCATGGCTTCACCAAAGTGGTAAAAATCTGATACCTGCATCACTTTGGGCTTTCCTCCCACATGCCACATGAAGCAGACACGCCGTGATGTAACTGAATATTGTTCAAAGCAACGTTACATCCAATTCACACACTATATTTTTGTGGGGTGTACTCTGGAAATAACTAATGACATATTCAAGAGTATTGTACAGCGACCTCTTGGTCGCTGCCACCTTCACATGCTTCCTCGACTGACCTCCCAGTACCTTCTGGCGACATTATACTTAACAGTGGGATAGGAGTTGCTGTTGTAAAGGACAAGCTGATAGATTACACATAGGCATACAAAAGGGATAAGAAGAGTTTTGACTCAAGTGTGACCACATTCAATACTTATATGCATGATTCTCAGATGGGGTGTAGAGGAAGAATATTGGTTTTCAATTCATGCGAAAAAAATTCAGTTTTCAGTCCGTTAACACAAACTGTAAACATCATTATCAATGTCTGTAATATTTCAAGAATGTTTCTATGTCACTCATTTAAAAGATGTGTGATTCAGAAGGTATCAACAATATACAATGTATGGCAACTAACTATTTGTAACACCACTTATGTTTGAACTAGACATGTTGTTACACAATCAGAGATTTTGTCACTCTATATTTATTTTTAGAAATGTATCATCTGCACATGACGAAGGTTACTGAGCGTTCCTTTTTTGAAATGCCTTGAAAATTGAAAATACAGTAAACTATGGTTATAACGAACTCAAAGGGACCTCTTATTTTAGTTTGTTATAACCGTAGTTTGTTATAAGCATATATACAGCATATAAACAGCAAATGGCCGGAACCAACAATAAGTTTGTTATATCCATCAGTTTGAGATCAGCATGTTCGCTATAAACATAGTTTAATGTGACTGATGCATTGGAAGAAATTTGTCAGTCAGGATGCGTGTGAAGGGAAATATTGAAGATAATGGTAATGCTAAGGGTGAAACGATACACCGATATTCCGATGCATCGCGATACTTGACCCACGATACGATATTTATCGATACGCCACGATATGGAACGCAAATCTCAAGTACAGCGTTTCCTGGCTATTGTGCCTTTCAATAAACCGCTAACTTGGTTATAGCACGCGGTAACGCATGGCTCCCAAAAACGTACTTACATTTTTAATAAGCTCAGGTTTTACACAGACAGATGTTTTTCCCCATCTCAAAAAACATTATCAGCTGATCCCCGCAAGCACATAACAATGAAAATACAAGTCAGCAAGTCCGAACTGAAGTGCGCAATTCAATACCATTATTATACTATCTTGTTATTAAAACGTGTTCATTATATATCTGGACTTGTGTTTGTAATATATTTTATTGATTTTACTCAAAATTTCATTTAATATTGTTTTCATGAAGTTAGGTGAAATCGTGTGTGAAGAGATACAGCAACCACGGTCAGATTACCGCTTTTGACGCATTGAAACGAACTTTAGTTGCTAGAGAATGGATACATATATGAAAAAAGGCCCTACTTTGACTCGTCAAAAGTCATATTTGTGGCAATTTGGCTAATATATGTCAACATAACGTTTTCGCAATCGAAATACATGTAGCACGGGAAGTCCCTAGGGTGACTGGTCAAATTGTTCCATACGTAAAAATATCCTGCAACAGCAATCAGCAGTACCAAAATGCTACACTTGTGGTTCTTATAATTTTAAATATATATATAGAAAAAGGTGCAACTAAGCTAACACGATATTGGAATATATTATTCCTGATAAAACAAAAAATTCAGATACAATTTCTTCGACCATTGCATCAAAATTCTTTGACGTTGTATCACTGGTGGATCACATTAATTATTTTCTGGTGTTTGAACTTTGAATTGTTTTTAAGGAAAGTTAGAGAAAGTTCCACTTTGAAGATGAACAACTTCAGTAGTCTTGTTATTATAAAATAATTTTGACTGTTCCAAAATCATGAAAGGTTCAATCTTGACATGCTTTAAGTCTTGTTTTTTTTATCATTGCGTATTGAGATACGTATCGTATCGTGACCAGGATATCGAGATGTGTATCGTATCGTGACCTTCCTGTATCGTTGCAGCCCTAGGTAATGCTGACATATAGTAATGATACTGATCCTGAACATTTGAACAAAACTGCACGTTTGGTTCTTAATTCAATTCAGCACAGTTATATTGACATGAAAACACAGTATGTTTATCTCCTACATATCACTGACATGTTGGGACCACGTAACCTGTTGCCGTTATACAGTCACTCTATCAATGTCATTAATGTACGTTGTTTTGCTAAGTTGTGATCATTATCATGACTATTTTGTAGATATGTTTGCAATAAGTTGCTCAATGTTTCATGTGTTCTTACTTGTATGTGTTTAGTTGCTTGAATACAAGCATGTAGGTAAGCTTTTGGAAAATGCCTGAATGTGTTGTTTTTCTTAGGAGGTCTTGATTTGATTTTATTTAGTGACAAAGCAAGGCCACATATTTTCATATTTTCAATCAAAATGATGTCTCATGATTAGCATTATGTGGATATGTTCTGATAAATATTGATCAGCCTTAATATTTGATTCATCTGGTATCTATTACTCCAATCTGAAAAAAATAGATACTTTGGAAAAGTATTGGTGAAAAGTGAAAAGCCTGAAAGACTCCAGCATCCAATGCCCTAAACAGTGTTGTCCAACTAATCAGTTTGCAGGACACACACTCCAGTTCACAAAACAAAATCACAAAACACAAAACAAAGTTTGAAGGTTTGAGGGAATATATTTAAACAAAGCCCAACTCAGTTTAATTCTGTCATGTAACTCAGTAAGCAAACTGGCTCCAACAAGACCAGTTGCAAATATTGAAGTTTCTGAGGATGCTTGGTAAGAGGAGAAACATGACTGTGCAGTAGTGAAGCTTATTATGCCTTTGTTGATTATGTTAATAATGATAATACCACATAACATGTTATTACTCAGATTTAACTAGATTTTATCTAGTTGTCAGCTGGATTGTTTCCATGCTTGTTTAGACCTGTTTATGTAGGTAACTCTTTGATTTTTACTTTGAAGTTATTGTTTTGACCAAGGAAGAATGTTTGTGTAGTATGCTTGCCCAGCTTCAGCAGGGCATACATTGCCTATCTACTGTCAACACACAATTCTTATTCAGTCTCAAGATTTGACATCTGAAACAAACAGATTTTTAAACATGACATTTATGTGGCATTGTGAAAGGAATTGATAATTGAAAAGAATAGCACATATATTACTGACAAAAAATAAGGGAAATGATGAAATGATAGTGACGGTGGATGTGGTGTGTCCACCATGTTGGGCGATACATGCATGGCACCTTGACAGCGTACTGTTGATTAACTTGTGTATGGTTGCCCTCGGTTTTGCCCACCATACCCCTGAGAAACTAGTCCAGGCCGGGCCACATTGGCAGGTGCTTGCAGTTCAAAATGTCTGCTGAGGAATGGAATGACCGCAAGCAAAATTTCGTCAACATATTGCTGGCCACTGAAATAAATGTCTATTCACAATAACCAAATCAGTTTGCCTGTCATATGTTATACCACCCTGGACCATGACACTACCGCCCCCATTCCGATCATTGTGAAGAGTTGTTGTCCTGGTATACTACTCGCCAACACGTTTTCTGCCATCTCTGAATCGGAAGCAAAACCTTGGTCTGTCTGTAAACAGTGTAACGCCATTGGCACACCCCACAATCTTTGCGGCCTATGGTAAGCTGTTAGGGTCACTCCCTTCACAGGACGCCTTGCCTTCAGGCAGGCTGCATAGAGCAGCTTTTTAATGGTAGATGTTGAAATTTGCATTCCTGTTATTGTACGGAATTCTCTTTTGATAACAGAAGCAGATATATATCTATTGTGAAGTTCAATTGCTGTAATAAGACCATCTTGTCTAGGTGTCATTGTTTTAGGCCTGCCACGCCCAGATCTCATTGCAACCAAACCCGTTTGATGGTACTTGTCCTACAGTCAAGGAGTTTCTTGTTTTGACAAACATTCAGTTCCCCTCCATCTCCCCTGTGGTACTGACACTTTGCCATTTTGTTTGTTCATTGAATCTCAGAGACATTTTTAAGCATGTGCTTTGCTCAATTGCATTAGTGATTGTGAGTTTCCCTATAGGCGCACACACTTTGGCTTCTGTGTGCATGTGCACCATGTGCTGTTATGCATGTTGTGAAATTTGGTGTGATGTTGCGTTCAAATGAAGTACTGTAAATTTACACTCAACAATTGCTACCTTCCAATCATTAATTCCCTTATTTTTGTGTCAGTAGTATATATTGCTTCAAAATTAAAGACAAATTGCACAGATATAATTCCTGGAGACTTTGTTCTAGATTTCTTCTTTGTTTCAGACTACTCATGTATATTAAGAGGATGTCTGTGTGTGCACACACACACACACACACACACACACACACACACACACACAGAGGCTACCCTATTTGTATGTCTCATTTTGAAAATGTTCTTGGATAATATGTCAATGCAGATGCACAAGAATGCTCTTAACAGAGATCAGGTGATTGTCATTTATGAAGAAAGAACTTTGTTTTGGCTGCTCGGTTTATGTTCCTCCAAAGATCTTGATTGAAGATTTAAAAGAAGACTGCTATCATATAGTAGGTTGAAATGTGCATATTAATTACAAATTAAGTTTATATGAGCCCCAGAGCCTTCCAGAAGGATTAGGTAGTAACTGGAATATGGTTATTAGAGATAATGTATATTAGAGATATTTGTCACTTGTTAGATGTTAATCTGAAGTGTTTGATGAACACCCCTTCACAATGGCATAAACCTCTTACAGAGAAGATTATTGGTAGCTATATGACATTCTGTGTGTAACTACTT